CCCAAATTCTTGGGATCTAAAACAACTGTTTTCACAAAGGATCACCTTCTCATTTACTGACAAGGCAGTTAACCCATCCTCAGCCTCCACAGCCAATTTAAAACATTTTAGGGCCTCCAGAGACTCCCCATATTCCACCAGCAGTCACACAGGAGAAGCAACACAAATTGTTGTATAGTCTGCATATTGCAGCACCAGGCATGATAGCAGCGGCCATTAATAAGTGTTTTCTCATGGCTGTTAAAATGTTCTGGTATATTTCAATCTCTGTCCCATCTAGCTCAAGCAAAACAGAAAGTAACAGGTTCCCCTGAAGGAATTTACATATTCCATCTCTTTTCCTCCCCAGACCTTATGAGCAACAGGGACAAATCTGTCATCCTAACTCAGTCAATGGCAATCATGGGGGCCCTTTTGGCCTCCAGATTAACAAATGTATAAATATCTCAATTACATTTCTGACCATGGTGAATTTCTTATCAGTTCTGCATGAACCCTATACCAATGGTTAGGATGTACCTCAGGTCATGGGTCACCTGGCAATATGAATTTTCATCATGCAATATGACAAAGTTCCTCTGCTATACCCATAGTGTGGCCACCTATAGGGTGGCTTGAAATATGTGGTCTCTTATGGATGTGTGCAGGAAGCCTGGAAATCCAGTGCATCTGCCAGAGCATGGAAATTGATCCACTCTGGCAGCCTTCCACATCACGTGTATCAGTGTCCCCACACTGAAAAAAAAGTGGGGCACTCTGAAATAAAATACACAGGCAGTGCCCCTCGCCCGTCCACCGCCACGTCTGCCCAGGCTGAGGGAAGGGAAGGTGTTGGGGAAAGCCCCACCAGGAGTACCTGGTGACCGGCTGGCACTCCATGTCTTCCCCTAACACTTCCTCGCTCCCTCCGCCCCCAGCCAGCTTCTCCCCAGCGGCAGTGGTGTAGTGGCGGTCTCCACATTCAAGCTTCACCTTCCCTAGCTGGGCGGCACCTGTATGATACGCCTGCAGAGAGGCACCACTGCCCTCGCTCCCACCTCCTGGGAGCAGGCACAGAGATGCACTCCTCCCTCATTCTCAGTCTGCCCCCCACAACCTCTTCCTTTCCCCCCACTCCCCCCACACATACCTACCTGCTGGGGTGTCTGTGTATATCTGTGTCTGTGTATGTGCCTGTTGCCTGCATGTGAGGCTGGGGGGCTGTTGTGGGGGGAGTATGAGCAGGACTGGGAGGTCGTGTGGGGGAGTGAGGGACACTAGCATGGCTGGGGGAGGGGCATGGGGGGGCTTTAATTTTTATCCTGGATTCGGGGGGGGTTTATCACAGAATTTGCAATTTTTTAATTTTTTTTAAACGGAGAATTTGTGACTTTTTATCAGGGGAAACCAGGATCCCTGGTTATCACTCTGTTCTTTCTTGAAGGTCGATTGCCGTTGTTCTCTCTCTGTTCTGGGGAAGATTCTTCTTGTTTGGTCTCTTATCTGTCTGCGTTCTTCAGCCAGTTGCCAGCTAATGTTTTCCTTTTCCACAAACACGCTCTCAGCCATACAGCATATAAAAGAGCAAAAGGTCGAGCACTTATGTCAAGCTACAGAGCAATACAAAATGAATTTTCTTAAGGCAACGCAAAACTCAAGAAAATACATAAGATTAACAGCAATAGGCGAGAGTCTATTTCTATGTTATTTACCTAACATCAAGCTGGTATTTATGCTATTTGCATAACATTCCCTTCTTTGATCCTTCAAAACATTTTGTTTTGAAGGGATCACTCTATAATTTTTATAAGGCTATATATTGTAAAGCAATTAGGGCATGTGATTTCAATTTAAAATACATTTGTTTCATCCAACAACCCATACAACACATTACAATCAGCATTATTCTAGTTAGTATAGAAAAGATGATAGTAGAATGTAACATAACATTTAGGACCACCATCCATGACGGTGACCATCCCTTGAAAATATCATACCAATGCTGTATCATCATTTGTCTATCTTGTTCAGATAATCTCAGAATTTCTGAACCTTGGTGTAAATAGTTATAGTACACAGTTGATTTTGTTCTCGTGTTGTAGTAGTAAGATAGCTAATTTGTGAATTCTTTTATAACCAATAATTTAAGGTAGCCTACTTGATACCTAAATAGAAATGGAAATCAATTAAATTATTCCTTCTCCAGGGATGATTTCCTTTAAGAAATGCAATTCAAAGTGCTCAAAAGAAAAGTAATAAAAACGTAACAATATGCTTATAAATCTTAACTAAGCAATAAGCAAGGCTAAGTCAAAATATCCAGGGTTTGTGCCATGCAGTTTCCAGCATCATGCAGCTTCTATATATGTATGTTAAGTAATTGGTCACATTTGATTCATGACACACAAATATATCAAAAATAGAAAAGCACAACAAGTACAAATTAACACTGGTTCTCCTTCATCTGTGTTTAACAGGCACTGGCCTTTTAGTCCATCGGTGTCACTGGGCATTTTGTGGTGTTCAAATAAATTTAGTGCATTAAATTTCATACACCATTGAATAACTTTAACTGAAATGCATGTATCCATTTTGATTCTTCTCCCCAGTTGTATTTCGTATACCACTGGACTAAGACGGTTAATAATAGGCACTGGTCCAATTCACTTGGAATTCAAAGTATGGGGTTTTTTTCTTTCCCAGTTATAAATAGATAACTTGATCATCAATTTCCCATAGAAATCAGTTGCCAATCTTTTCTTTCTGTATTTTTCCCTACTTTTCTTTCTGTATGTTCCCCTACATTTGTTGAATGGCTTCCTTCATTCATATTTGAAGAGTTACCTTGTTCTCTTTTTAATTGTGCCAAGCATTTATGCACATCGAGGTTAGTGGTATCTCCCACATCATTAAACTGATCTAGGTCCATCACCAACTTCGTCCATCATTAAACTGATCTAGGTCCATCACCAATTTGATAAGGTTATATATATTGTTCAAAAACAGTCTAGAGTTAAAGGCAATTTATTAATTAAATCTGTTTGTAAACTACTCCACAGTCCTCTCCTCCTTTGATGAAATAGTGATTGGGACTCAGAAGGTCTGGCCTCTTCTTTTGTACATTGGACATAATTAGCGATCCATATTTTCTCATCATTTTACATACCTGTCCATCCTCTATTTTGCTTTAATCAATAAAGAGTTTCCTTTACTTCTTCATACAAAGACTGATGTGCTAGGTTTATCAGCTCTTGCTTTTCCTGTAAAACAATGGGTTAATGCAGTTTTCACCCCCTGCCCCCATGTTGGTGTTATAAATAGTATGTAAATACAAATGAGATTTCCTTTATAGCCTTAAAAACATTTCATCAGGTTTTTTATTAAACACACACATATCTTTTTAATAAATGCAATTTTGCTAAACAAGTAAATGTTACAACCTGAAACTTTCATATTAATTGCTGTTCTTTGTTTCAAAGATTAGAACAACTTTCCTGTCCAAACTGGATGGAAAGTGTCCTGGTCTAGGATCCACACACAAATTCAATTTTTAGAGGAGGTATTGCCAATGATTTTTATCACATCTTTATGATATTTATATACATTTAAACTTTTGACAGCGTAAAATAAAGCAACCAAACAAACAAACGAAAGACAACACAACAGGACAAACAACACAAAACAGACAGACAAAACAATTTTTGCTGTGGTGATAAAACTGTGGCTTAGGGTGAAGAAAACACTTGATGGTAATGAGGCCTCATAGTCTTTCAGTCACCTTTGCTACTAGATTCAATTTTACATTATGGTTTCTGCTAAAGAAAACACACAAACCTGCCAAGGAAAACTCCTTGCAGTAAAATATTCATATTTACAAATTTACAATGCTGACGTGCAGTAACAATGTACACATTACTACAATTCTTTGGGTGTTTTTCTTGCGGGGGGGGTGCGTGTGTGTAAGTGACAAGGATTATTTACATTTATTTTACTGTTTTCAATGGTTCATTGCACTATTTTGGCAATTGGAATGGGGACCTTTACAGTTTTTTTTTCCAAATGTGAGATCAAGGGATGCCAATACCCTTGTTACACTTTAACCAAATTGCCATTTTAAAAATATTTTTTTTCCTTTTAAAGGGACAATTTTCCCCTCAGAATTCTTATTTAAAAAACTTTTTCTGTATCTTTATTGCTGGGACATTATAAAATCTTTAAGGTATTTGGATAAAACAATACTATTGTTCCCATGAATATGAATTCCAAATTATACCAGTACTTTTGTGCTAAGGAAATAACCAAAATATTATATTAGCCAAATTCAATATTAAAAATCATTTTACCC